ATAAAATCTTTAAAAAAAAAAAAGAAGTAAATAAAGTTTAGAGCAATGGTAGTAGGAGGGGAGACAAATCTCTGGTAACCTGGAGGAGATGCTTCTCAGAAGGAAAGTTTCTTTACATCATGGGCTCACCAACTCCAAGACCAGTGGGTGTCATGGATGATGTCAACAGTGATTCACTGTCTGTTGTCCCAGTAGAGGTATAAGGCAGGAGACTGGGCAGTGACCAGGGGATCTGATTCCTCCTGCCCCTACAGTGATTTATTCCTGGACTTCCTCACTGTGGGGGCAGGAGGAGGTGTGTGAAGGGATTTCCCCCATGTCTGAGGGCTCTAAGGGGACAGGAGAAGCAAGTTCTAATTTCCAGACCTACAGTTGGATTCTTGTTGGCTCAAGTAGCTGGGTTTCGTATACCTTCCCCAGTCCATGTAGTATGGCACAGGGCGTGGAGCCATATTGGTCTTATTCTACTCCAGGGGTCCATGAGCCTGGGTACATAGCTAACATTTATTGGGCACTTAGCATGTGCCAATAGCCTCACGAAGCAGGTTTTCTCTGACCCTATTGTTCTGATAAAGGATCAGAAGTTCAGAGAGATTCAGTAACTTGTCCAAGGTCACAGAGCTAGTAAAAAGTGTGGCTAAAATTTAAAACCAGGTTTATCCAACTCCAAATCCCATACTTGACACATTTTGCTATGAATTAAACTCCCGGTCACAGTGGGGAAGCAGATGTAATCACAGTTTACCATAACAAAGTGTAGTTATGGAACTATATGTGGAACTAAAAAGAGGCACATGGATGGCCTGGGAAGAAGCCCTACTACTGATAGGTAGATACATGGGGGGAGAGGGGAGACTTCTCGGAGGAGTGGCCTCAGAGCTCAGGGGTGAATGAGTTTCTGGCCAGCAGAAGGGCATTCTGGGTAGAGCAGAAACAGGCAAAGATGTGAAGATGGTGGCCATGTTTGGGAAGAATGAGTAGTCTGGCAACCATGACAATGAGTCAAGAGTTTATGACATCAGGGGCTACTGTTGACACAGATGAAGACTGGAGGTTCTGTGAAAAACAAACCCTCAACACTTCCAGCTAAGTCCTAAAGCCATGCTGAGTATACACCGTCCCTCAGGAGAGCCAAGGAGGAGAACATTTGGGCCTACTTATCATTCCATTCAGTAATCATTATGTTGTTCCTTGATTATGTGTCAGGGTAACATTTTTGGTGAGATTTGTTTGATCAGGACGTAAACTCTATATATGTAGATACTGGTTTCTCAGCTTGTTACTCATATACTATGGTCATTCAATCACGAGCCACAGCCAGCTGCTCAGACTTCTTTAAAATAGACGGAAATATATCCTCTGGGAACCGTGCACCCCAAAAATCTCCATGCTTTTTCTGAGTCTCAGTTGGGTGAGATGACACTACCAGTGTGCGATAAGCATTTTTCGTGTTTGCTATTTGGTCTTTAAAATACAACATTTCAAAGAGCTGCATCGTTTTCCATAAATATGGCATTATTCACTGATTTTCCTTTTCTGCACATTGAAGTTCCTTCTCATGTTTCACTGTTTTCTTCTATGCTGAAATAACCATGTGGCTTTTATCCTTTGGACGATTTTCTATTGAAAAATTCCCTGAAATGGGATTAATGGATCAAAGATGGATACTGTTTTTATGGCTTTTGATACATGTTACACAATCACCTTCTGAAAAGTTTAGAATAATAGCCCATTGCTGGCATCAAATTTCAGTGGAACCTCTTCAGTGTTGGGAAGGTGTGCTTTTCTGATTTTCATTAGGTATAAATGCCTTATTTTAACTATGGCTTCTTCGTTAATGACATCAGTTGAACATTTTCTATATTTCTGTCTTCCATTCAATTTCAGCTTTTTGCAAAATTTCCTTTGCTCACTGGTCTACTAGAATTTTGATATTTTTCTTTTCAATTTGTAAAGGAACTCAAATCCAAAATCACACATGGGAAAATAAACTAAGTTCTCTTTGGGAATCTACAGAAATAAAGGGATAGACTAAGAACTAGAACAGCAAAGGGTTAATGAAGATACAAAATAATAAATTTGAGTTTATTTTCATTTTTGAAGTTCCTCCAGCGTAGTGATTCTTTTTTTTTTTTTTTAGAGAGAGAGAGAGAACTTGAGCTCACACGCACACATGGACGAGTGGGGCGGGGCATAGAGGGAGAGGGAGAGAGAGAGAATCTTAAGGAGTCTGCATGCCCAGTGTGAGCTTGACATGGGGCTCAATCTCACAACCCTGAGATTGTGACCTGAGCCGAATCCAAGAGTCAGATGCTTAATTGACTGAGCCACCCAGGCGCCCCCAGAGTAGTGATTCTTGTTTTTAGATTATACATCTTTTTGAGATATGAGTCCTTACCCCCAAAATGAATGTGACCTATTGCATAAAATTTAAATGAGTTCATGGCCCTTCTCAAGCCTCTCCACAGACACCTCTCAGGTTAAGATCCGTTGTTCTATAATAACTGCTTTAACTAAAAAGTTCATTTGATTACTGCTCATTTTTGCCTGTCTTAACAAAGAGCTACATTGCTTTGTTTTGTGTTAGAAGGCTAATGTTATGAATAAGTCAATGTATTGCTTTTCCTTCTTTTTTTTTTCCCCCAGAGTTTTGAGGCTATCACTGGGTAGACTTCAGAGTCCCAGAGGGAATTTGACTTCATGACTCAGACCTCCAACTTCAGGTATGGCATGAGTCAGGAATGTGGGAACCTCAGAGTCTGAAACACAACTAACAGGTTGAGGCCCCTAAGACTTCAGACTTACCAGATTCAAAATTTTAAATAAATATATTTGAAATATTTAAAGCAAAACAACAACAACAACAACAAAACTGAATCAAAATGTGAGCAAGAGAGAAAAATAACAAATGACCCGGCATTTTGGAGAAAGAACTAAACTGGAGTGTTTAGAAATCCTCATTCTCTTCAAAGTGCTGAGAGAAAAATAACTGAATACAGAATTGTATACCTATTAAAACTATCAAGAAAAAGTACACAATAAGGATATTTACAGGTAAATAATAAATGAGTTTACCCCCAACAAGCCTTCATTGAAAGAACAAATGGTGTTTTAAAAAGAAGGAAAATTATTCCAGACAGAAGGCTTATTAGTTTTTTATTAGCTGTGGTAACAAATTGCCACTAATATCGTGGCTCAGAACAATACAAAATTATCTCCCGTTTCTTAGGGTCAGAATTCTGATCCAAGTCTCACTGGGTTAGAATCAAGGTGTCAGTCAACAGGGCTGCTGGAGGTTCTAGGAGACCACCTGCTTCTCTGCTTTCACTACCTTCTAGAAGCTTCCTGCATTCCTTGGCTGGAGGCCCCTTCCTCCATCTTCAAAGCCAGTAATGGGTGTTGGGTCCTGGTCATATCATATCACTCTGACTCCTCTTCTGTCTCGCTCTTCTACTTTGAAGGACCCTTGTGGTTACATTGAGCCCACCCAGATAATCCAGAATAATCTCCTTATGCTAAGGTCAGCTGGTTAGCAGCTTGCTGAGGTTTTCACTCTCTTCCCCAGTTTGCACTTTGGGGCAGAAACAGGTTCATATGCTGGCCAGCCAATAAGGCTCCCGGTACTCCTGTGGCTTTGGAGCAGCTCCTCACCTGGTAGGTGGCCGTCAGGTGTGCTGGAGAAAGCCAAGATCCCGTCCCTTCCTGGCTCTGTGTCCTTACCAAGTTACCCCCCCACCTTCGGACCTCTGATTGTCAGTTGTCAAAAGCCTCTGGTTATTGAAGGGATGAAAACATAACCTATATAAAGCACCTGGCATGATGCCCAGCACAGGTGGGCATTTCACAAATGTTGCCTCCTTCCGACCCCTCTGGGGAAGTCCATATCCTCTTGGCTGGGCTGGCTCTTGCTTCCATTGTGTCATCAGATCCATACTAGGGCCCTGTTGGACATGGATTCTGGGAATTCATTCTTGGCCTCAGTTCTGTCTAGAGACTTCCCTGTCATTTACCTCCATCCATCCATTTGCCAAATGGAGGTGTTTGCTTTGGCCTTCTGCCAATTGGAGTACCCGAAAGATTTAGGTTTCTGGCCATCCTCAGAGATTGGGGGTGGTCTTATATTGCCATTTCTTAGATCCCATACTGTTCTTCATGCGCATTAAGAATTCCATCTGCTGTTTGTAGAGGAGTTAGCAGTTCACAAAGCACATCCAGCAAAAGGTAGATCAAGTATTATAATCCCCCTTTACAGCTGGGAAAACTGAGTCCCAGAGAGGAAGAAAGACCTCTCTGGGAAACAGTCAGCAGCTAGATGGGAAGTGACGGCCTTCTGCGCTGAGGTTTCCTGACTACCCATCCAGTGCTTTGCTTGGGAAGGAGATGTTACGGTGAAGCAGGCTCCGAGTCAGACAACTCTGGGCCTCAGTTTCCTCATCTGTAAAGTGAAGATAATAGTAAAACAGGCTGAAGCTGTTGTGAAAATTCAGGAAGCTAGTCCCTATGGTGGCATGTGACTGGCATTGGGCACTGCTGCTGTAGACGCTGGTGGGTGCTGCCCAGACCGGCCCCTGCCCCACGAAAACGGTCTACACCTGAACAAGTCACGTCTGCTCTCCAAGGGAAGCCCGCATCCAATGACCAGTCAGTGTGGGGTGTGGAGGCCCAGCTCTCTAGCAACGACGTCCCAGGGAATGATGGGCTGAGGCCAGTGTTATGACTGCACGGTACCTCAGCTCCTTCTGCTTGGTCCTTCTTTCTTCACACTACACAGGGGCGGAGGCTGAGCTAACTCCCCAGTAAGTGCCCTGTGTGCTAGTCTCCGTGTCATGCTAAGGGAGTGGGTTTGCGTGGAACCATGCACGCAAAGCCCAGGTAGCAGAGACGCTGGGCTGGGTTAGTTGTGTACTCCGTGTCCTTGCAACAGACTAGGATGGGCAGGCTCTCCTAGGCTCTAAGTCCATGACTCTGGCCCCCAGCCCTGGGACCAGACAGCTGGGGAAACCTCCAGGTCTGGGTAACCCCAGACTCTAGGCTGTTCTGTTCCTGGGCACAGCTTTCTTTCCCCAGTGATGCAACCCTTTGCAACAGACCACAGGTCAGTCGTGTTCCTGTTATCGAGCACAGAGAGGCTTGCGGCTCGGTCTCTCCAGGAATTCTGACGCACTGCAAGACCCTGTGGTTGGAATGCCTCTTTCCTCATAAAAGCCCCTGGCCTCAGAAAAGGAAGATTTCTCAGGTGACTAACATGTGAGCTAGGGCTTCCCAGGACCTAGCCACCCGGTTACATGAAACAACCAGCAGAGATCAACTTCAGCTCAAGTTATTTGGGGGGCAGAGAATAGGACCCCATAATTACCCTCAGCTCCCCAACTTCTCCTCCCCCGGGTAAGCATAGAGAGTAAGAGGGAAAATGCAAACAGAACACTTGCCGGCCTTTTTCCCACTTCCAACCAGACTGCCACCCCAAGTCTCCCCTGTCAGTTCTGGAGCCCCTAACGCTGCCCCAAATCTAGAGCTCTTGATGACATCGATGGGTGAGGGCCTGGAGGCCAGGGGCTCTGTGACTCTATAAGCTGCTCCCGCTGTTCTTCCCCGCAAACACTACACTTCAGCTCTGCTTTGCCTAAACCCCTTTCACTATGGTGGAGCTCCTCTTCTTTCCTCCTCCTCTACCTGTCCTATCTGGCTCCCCTGGCTGTTCCCCCAAGCCTGAGGAGGGTGCCCCTGCTCTGCACTCCCACAGAACCCTGTGCTTCCTTTATCCGTGCACATATCACCCTGCGATGTAGTTTTCCAGGGATGTGAACACTAAGCCGTGAGGACAAGGACACACCTGCCCCGCTTACCTCTGTCCCCTCAGGATCTAACATCGCACCTGGCAGTGGTGGTGGGGTGGGGGGGGGGAGGCGGGAAGTCTTCGTGGAGCGGATGCACATTAGGTTTTGTTAGGATTGTTAGTTGTCACAAGGGACCAAACCCCACCTTGAACTTGCTGGCAGCTTCTACCATTTGGCTGCTGTGAGAGCCAGAGGAACTGCTTCTCTTCCTGAGGTTCAGCTTGAACAATACCACGAGGAGTCCCACGTCCCAGGCACTGTGGCTGAGGATGTGGTAAGGTGGCTGGGCTGGGAAGAGCAGGGGCAGCTCAGCATCATGAGGCGAGGAGCCTGGCAGGCAAAACCTCAGGCGCTACGGAGGTGCGGACTCCCGTGGAGGAGCTTCGTGAACTGCAGTGTCCCCGGCAGACGTGGGAATGACTTCCCATTTGTCAGCCGGTGCCTTGCTGGAGTCTGATCCCTGCATTTTCATTTTGATCGACTCCTCAGCTCCCTTTTGTGTTGCTTGTTGGCTTTTATAGGATTGTATAATTGAAGGCTTTGGTTGCAGGAGGCAGAGGTAGCTGCCCACCACAGGTCCAGTCAGCCAAGGCCTGGGGACCGAGTCAGGTGCATTTATCCGTGACTGGCCCCCAGGGTTGTGGCAGCGGTGATGGGGGTAGTTCCCAGAAGAGTGGATCATGGGGTTAAGTGGCATCTGCGGATCTTGACCTTGACTGATGTAAACTTGTGGGTTTCAATGTGTGACCACTTATGAATGTCATGCTGGGAGACTTATTCTTTTATACAGATGTATGAGTGGTGTGTTTGTGTATGAGAGAGAGGGAGAGAGAGAGAGGCACCAGGTACATGAGTGGCGGCTTCCCATCTATTCCTTTACTCATTTGTCCACGTGGCAGGTTGTGTGTGGAGAGTCAGGGATATGATGGTGACCAGAACAGACACAATCCTTGCTGTGACCTGCCAGGGAGGTAGATGTCACACAGAGGATCATGCGAATGAAATGTCTGAGCTAAGATCTTAAGGGTGAGGGTAGTCTGCAAGACAGCGGAATGGGGCAGGGAAGGGTGTTCCGTGCAGAGCCGAGGTGGAGCCTATGTCAAAGCCCCGAGGCAGGAGGAAGAGGTGATATTGAGAAATCAAGAGGCCTGTGTTGCTAGAGTTCAGGGAATAAGGGGGTTGTTTTGCAAGCGGAGCCTGGAGCTGGGTTTTGTAGACTCTCAGAGATCCTGCAAGGACAAGCATTTATCTAAGATCATGGGAAACAGATCAATGCCGGCTCTTTTCACAACTCCGCTCCATTGCTCTGCCTCACGTACCTAAACTCACAGGAAGCAGGATGCCCCCTCAGTGCCTCTTTCCCCTGGCTGCAGTGAGGGGGGTCTCTGATGCTCCTAGTCTTCCCACGGTGCACTGGGATGCTGCCATTGAGCCCAGAGTATGGCTTCCCCTTGGGGCCTTGGCATCTCTCCTGCCAGGTGACCTCACCTGCAGCTGTCTCAGTCTGAAGGATCTAAATAACATCAAACCTCAGCATTTCATCCCTCCATTCCTGATGCCTGCTCTCCTTGTCACCTCTGTCCTCCACCCTGTCTTCTCTCTGTCCCCCACCCCCTTCTTGTTGTTCAGCAGGCTGGCCCTAGGCAGGTCAGTGCTAGAGTGAGTGCTCAGTCACTGTTGCTGGAGGTGGAGTAGCTCTGTGTTGTTCAGAAGCGGCCCCCCTCCACCCCCAAGGGTGCCCAGCCCGCAGGAATTCCCAAGGTCTCAAAGGCCAGCCCTTTCCAGAAATGCAGTCTTCCCCATCTCCGGGACTTTTTTGGCCCCGAGCTTCTCAGGTGATCTGAGTGAGCCAGGCCAGGCCACTGGTCCCTTAGATCTTTGCAGCTTTGGAAGAGAGGTGGCAAGCCTGGAGAGGAGACTTCTGGAGCGGGCCAGGCTAGGAGGTTGGAGATGCCCACATCCTGGATGTGGCCCGAGTCAGGCCTGGCCAGGGAATGCCTGCCTTGTGCGCCGACCAACATGCCATCCCCGGCCCTAATTGGCAGCCTAGTTTATCATCTCCTTACTGCCCCAAGCCTGGCCAGGCCCTTAGCTCCCCAGGGAGGAATCAGACCCATGCTCTGCAGGAATAATAACTAATGCTTAGATAATGCTTCCTGTGTTCTAAGCACCTACGGCTTGTTAGCTCAGTCCTCACAACCACCCCACAAGCTGGGTAGCAGTCTTGCGCTCAATTTACAGATGTTTCCAAGGTCACATGGATGTAGTGTGTGAGGCCAGGACCTGAGGCCCCGGACACCAGAACCTGCCTCACAGAGTGGTTGTCCCGATGTAGTAACAGACATGCAGACCAATGTGACAAGATGGTGTGCGCAGGCAGGTTCCCCAGCTGCCCCAATGCCCAACTTCCCAGGTTTACAAAATTTAGTTCCTGATTTGTTTGCAAATGGGCATTTCTCTACAAAAGTTGCTTCAGAAATTCCCAGCCCAAACTCAGAGGCCTTGGCATTATAGCTGATGAGCCAAGGCTGCAGAGAACAGGAAGTGAAGGCCTTGTGGGAAGTCCCTGTGGTCAGGGGTCCCCAGGAAAGGGCATCCTGCCCACCTCTGGCTCTCTGCACCTCCCAGCCAACTTCAGGCCCTGTGCGCTGAGTGGAGGGACCCTGGGAACGAGCCCAGACCCCAGAGACAAGGTTAGGGGAAAGCGAAGCCCTCCACTAGACCCCTCTTGAGACCCCTTCTGCAAGTAAGCATGGTCTTTCCTTCTCCAATAGAAGAGACAGGTGCTATTGAAGGTGGCCAGGAGGCTGGCCTGCTCCTTCACTCTCCCCTTCCCCTGTGCCCTAAGGCCCTGTCTAGAGCAAAGCCCTGTTTCAATGCACACAACTTGTAAATTTTATAGTCTGCATGCCATTTCTTCCTCCAGCCTGCCTCTACTCTAAGGGACACTTCCAAAGTCATACAGCTGGTTAGTTGCAGGCCTGGGGACAAGACCTGGGACTTCTAGCTTGCCAAGGGAGCCCTTGCCCCTGCTCTTCATGCATCAACCCAGATGGTCTTAAGGATTCCTGAGTTGTCTCCTCCCTGATGGCGGGATCCAGGGGCATGAAGCTAGAGAGTAAGTTCAGAACGGCAAAGAGGAGAAAGTTTAGGACATAGGGTCTTGGAGAAAAGCTGGGGAGAATATTAGGCCTTGCAGACAGTGTCATTGCCAACAGCTGGGGTGGGAAGCCTGAGGGTAACTGGAAGAAGGGATGGATACCCTCCTGCTCCATAAGCCACATCCCAACTGTATGAGCCTCCACATGGTCCCCAAATAAACCAAGAAGATCCCCACCCAAGGGCCTTTGCGCTTGCTGCCCCCTTCCCCGGGACACTCTTCCACTTCTTTGATGTCACTCGGGTCTCAGCTCACAAGTCACCTTCTCAGATCGGCCTTCCCTGCCACTTCACATAAAACATGCACCCACCCCTAGGTCCCTCAAAAACAGATCATGCTTTTGATTTCCCCTGGAGCACATACTGTCATACAAAGTTAGTTTATTTGTTTACCAGTTTCTTGTCTGCCTTCCTCCATTAGATTATCAGGGACCTTATCTGGCATTCCCCCAAAGCCTGGAAGAGTGCCTGGTACACAGGATTAAGTCTACCCATATTGTCAGGATGAATAAGCACATGCATACATGAACCGGCGGCAGTCGGGGTGAGCATAAAGTGGGGTGGGCACAGAGGTCCAGCCTCACTAAGCCAGCTCAGTTCCTCATGCAAGACCTCTGGCTTTGCAGAGATAAGAACCTGCTGGGCTTCTGTTAGGCTGACTCACCCTTTTGGAAGCTGGGCCTGGCGAGCCCTGCATGCGTGTGTGCACGGCAGGCTCTGGCCCTTCCTCTTCCTCTCCCCAGGTAATCAGGAAGCAAGGAGCAGCTCCACCCTGGGAGGTGCTGGTAGCACACGTTCTGCCTGGTGCTTCTCCTCTCTGCGCAGCAGCTTGGTCTGGAGCCAGAGGCTGGGAGACCTCAGAGGACCGCGGAATCTACCAGGCCCTTCCCAGGGCTGCAGGTAAGCTCCTTTCACTCCTGCTTTTCCATCTGAAAGATGGGGAGGAAAATAGCCACCATTAGTGCGTACCAAATGCTCTCAGACTCTGAATAGCAAGCTTCCAGAGAAATGTCAAGCGCAGGTAGCTCCAGGCCCGTCTGGGAGACCTGGCTGAGGGGAGGCAGCAGCAGCCATGAGGATGCACTGGGGCCAGGGCCGCTGGCCCAGGGTCTGCGGGGCCTGCAGGGGACAGAGGAAGCACGCCTGCTGTGAGAAAAATCCTGGAGCTCTTAGACTCTGTTGGTCATTTTCCACTGGGGAGAGAAATGTGGAAAGTGGGGACACATTCCTGTCGAATGGGAGAAAGAACTGTGAGAGCTCAATGAGAAATACTGACAGAATTGGGCACCAGGTCCCGAGATCTGAAGGGTCGTACAAAAGGGTAGGGACCTGGAATCCGTGGCTACCACTGATTCGTCCCAGCAGATGGTTGTCTCATGAGGATGCAGGCCCAGGTGGCCAGAACTTCTCACTTTTCAAGAACTGTCAGATATTCTGATTTCCTTATGTAGTAGATTAAATAAAACAACAAAGTCAGCAAAGAAAATATTCAACCTGTGGGCTACAGGTTTGTAATCTCTGGTTAAGATCTGTGGGGGGCAGAGAAAAGATCTTTTTTTTTTTTTTTTAAAGATTTTATTTATTTATTTGACAGCAAGAGAGGGAACACAAGCAGGGGGAGTGGGAGAGGGAGAAGCAGGCTCCCCACAGAGCAGGGAGCCCGATGTGGGACTCGATCCCAGGACCCTGGGATCATGACCTGAGCCGAAGGCAGACGCTTAACCGACTGAGCCACCCAGGCGCCCCAGAGAAAAGATCTTAAAACTGGGAGTCTGAAGACCCAGTTTCTAATTCTATGTTTGACCTCGAATGGGTGAACTATTCCTCCTTTCTGGGTCTCACTCTTCTCAGTGTCAAGAGGAGGCTGGCCAACTCTTAGGGTCTCACGGGCTCGGTAATAGCCAATTCTTCCATAAGCTTATGGACGAGGCACTCTGCTGAGCAATTAACATGGCCTGTCTCTTCTAATCCTCACAACAGCCCTATGAGGAAGCACTATTATTGTTCACTGTTTCAGAGTGGGAACTTGGACACAGGTTAAGTAATTTGTCCAAGACCAGACAGCCACTCTAACGGGAGGAGCCGGGCTCCACTGCAGACAGTCTGTTCCAAACCACCGTATTATGCTCTGGGGGTGTGGAGACTGAGTGAGGTCATGGAGAAAGAAGTACTTTGTAAACCACAAGCAGTTTTTCCAGGGGCAGCAAATCCTCCCCTTTCCCCCAGTAGAGGAGGCAGTCTCCAGTGAGATGTGTTAAAATGTCAGCCCATGGTCTTATGCATCTTTCAAATGTGTAAAGAGGATGCCACTCCCAGAACCAGATGGTGATAGAATGTGAGGGAACATTTATACTTAAAAACAGTCCACTCCAAAATATTTTAAACTGTCACATAGTAGGTGCTGAGTAAGTTTGAGTTCAGGAGGCGAGGGCATGGGAACCCAGTGAAGACACCATGTTTTCTGGGAGGCCAGGAGCAGGGCTCAGAGAAGGGAGACCATGGAGAGATTTGGGGTTTGCTTCAAGAGCTGGGAGCTCGAGGACGGATGAAGGTGGACATGTATCTGGGACATGGCACTTACCTTGCTGGCCCTCTGCCTCTCTCTAACACCACTGACCTCACAGCTAATGTGTGTGAAGAAGATGAGGCAGAGGGAAGAGGATGTGAAGGTGCAGACATTTATAATGAAAGAGAAACTCCTTTTTACAGCCTAAGTTTGAAACCAATGTTAAGCTACTAGAGGTTGACCTATCTTGATTTACATAGCTGGAGGAAATGTGAATGGCTGAATTAAAAATTAACTTGATCAGAAGGGGAGTGACTGGCCAATACTTCATCTGCTGCGGTCTCTTTTCCTGAGTGGAAGGCTAAGGCTTTCGGTTCTTGTGTGTTTTATCTATCTATCTATCTATCATCTAATAAAATGGACCCCATCTCTGCTGGGCAAGACACAATGATGGGCAGCTAATCGTGCCTGCAATTTGCAGTACTAGCCACCAGATGGTATGAGCACCTTTTAAGGATTTGTATTATAGGGTGACCAATCATCTCAGCTTTCCAGAGATGCAGGACTTTCAGTACTAACACTTGGAAAGCCCTGGAAAGACCGGGGCAAATGGCCACCTTCATCTAAAACCAGGTAAAGAGCTTTCTTGTTAACCTCTGTAAGGTTTTAGAATCATCCTTCCCTTACTACCAAAAAACAAACCAACTCCTAAAATTTCCAAGCAATTGTGGGAACAAACTGTCACTCTGTAAGACGTGAGTTCAAATCAGAAGGAACTCCATAAGAACAAATAAAATTCTTGCTTCTGTTCATTGTGCAATGAATCGAGGAAAGAGGTCAGCTGCCTTTCTGGCAGGACTGCCGTGTGGGAAGGAATACAAGAGCTGGGTTCAAATCCTGCCTCAGCCACGATCTGGGGCAAGTGATTTAATCTTTCTGAGCCTTGATTTCTTATTCTGCGAGGTGAGTATAAGTATATACCCACCTTACACAGCTATTATTAGGCCTAAGTGAGATCCATGTGAAAGAATAAAACACATAGCCTGAGCCTGAAGCACAGCAGGTAAGAATTATAACTGTGCCCCACCCCCCCTCCCGGTTCCTGCCCCTCTCCCTCTCTGTCCACCTGTGGAGAAGCTAGCTGCCTTATAAAGCTAGTCAGCAAAGCCAAAAAGGCAAGAGCAAACATGTACCTCTAGTAGGACAAGATAAACAGATAAATAATGGCTTTCAATTCAGATCCATATCAAACCCAGAAATTGCTGGAGCAAAAACCATCTTGGAAGACTTGAAACTTATAAAAGACTCACAGGCAGTTTACCGTTTAGACCTAGGAGGAGGGCACGCTTTTGTGAAGCGGTGACTGAAAACAGTTGACTTTATATACAATCTCCCAACCACTATACATGGACCAGGAGGGCATTCAGGTTGGCTGAGATGCCCAGGAGAACCTCGGTCTCCAGACCTGGCCCGCTGCTATAGGGAGCTTCTCATAAGCTGCTGGATTTGGTTAAAATTGACCTGGTTACCTGGCAGGGCTGTGTAGGAAAGCTGACAAAGAGAAGACAGATGATATTTGCCCTTCCTCCTCCTGTGTGTACTGATATATTTACCCATCTCTTGGAAAGAGTAACCAGAGACTTTGTACCATTGTCTTAGTAAAAATTTCCAAAGTTTGGGCAACAGCACTGCCTGTATTGTGTGCTGTGATGCTCACGTACGCTGAGGGATCCAAACATGAGCTCGAGCCATTACAACTTAAGGTGCACACCTGTGCCCCCAAAGCCAGCTGCTTACAATTTTACCAATGGTGTTTGCATGACGTGCATGCAGGCCGGCAGGCACAGCTGAAAACGTTCGCACCAAGACCCACTATAGTGTCCTGATAAACTGGATTTGTTGGGAGGGCTTGCTTTCTGTAATGCGGACAGGACCTGTGGGGTGAGCCACTGGGCTGAGGTGGGCAGAGACTGGAGTTGGGAAATAGGATGCTCTCTCTCTCTAGAAAGACGAGAGAGACGAAGAGCCGCCAAATCTCCCCGCCGCCGCGGGGCACTGGAGCCAGCAAGATATGTTTGTGAGCATCTCTTCCCAGCTCTGCATTCCGCGTTGTCTTGCTGGTGGCTTGAGATCATCCACGGTGGGAGTATTTACAGCAGAGAAACCAGCAAATGCTACTAATGAGAACTCTTTTGGAGATCTAGCTGTCGACATCTAGCAGCACACCACGCCCTGCCTTCAGGCTCAGTGACCCCAAACCACACACCAAGTCTCATCTATCTGTCCACTGGCCCCGGGATGATCTTAATAAAACAGACCTGACGGTGTCACCCTCTGATTCCATGTTCTTTAAGAGAAATTCCCTGCCCCCTGATGCGTCATTAAAGGCCCTTCCTCCTCTGACTCCTGCCCAACTTTTCGGTCACTTCTGCCCCTACCCCCAAATGCTGTTCCAATTCTGCCATCCTGAATGATATGACTCAAAAAATAGACATCGTGTTCCACATCTGGCCTAGGACCAAACTTCCTGCTGTGATAACGAGCAAAGCTAGCAAAATGTATTTCTAAACAATCAGATGGGATCAAAGAGTGACCAGGGCTTTGAAGAACTGCAGAGGCCCGGACAGGTGGAGGTCAGTACTGGGGCCTTTTGCCCTGGGAGGCATTTGGTTTCAAAAGCCCCAGCTGAGTTTTGGACAAACTTATGGGGTCGGACAGGGGATGGGAGAGGATAAAATTTGTATTTTACCTCCCACTGAGGAGAACGGGCCCTGATAAACACCCCAGGTCTGGCCTGGGACCTAAAGGACTAGGACTACCCAGAAATGGAGTAGCCTGCCTAGCTACTGATGCTCCATTGTGATCATCTCAAGCCTGCCGGGGGAAGGTCACTTGCGGCTGCAGCGCCCCCAGCCTCACCGCCCAGCAGAAGCAAAAGGGAATCACCTCTAGATAAATACAATATTGTCCAGAGCCTCAAATGACCTCTACGGTTTTCGATGTACTACCGTGCCCAGCAGTTGGTAGAAAGTAGCCAGGCACAGGCAAGACGACCTGTGCACCAGACAAAAGCAGACTCCAGAAGGACACCCAGCGGGGATTCAGATAATAAAGTGAGCAGGTGCAGCCTTTACAAGAACTGTGAATACCGCGTGCAAGGATTTAAAAGACACGACTGAAACTTTCGGCAACACCATGCCAAAAAAAAGGAAGCGGATGGAAATCCTAGAATCGAAAGAAGCAATTAGCTGAAATTGAGAAATAGCTGCATTTATCGAACACCTCCTATGTGGATGGCGCTCTAGAGGCACCAACAGGGGCCCAGGGCTTGGTCTCAGTAGAGCCTGTCGAGTATCACTCCAAGGACATGGTTGTCCTATTTCCCTCTGAGTGGGCCTTATCATTTCTGCTGTCACCAGGGCAGGGCAGGGCTCAGCATGTAGAAGGCACTAGATGCAATTTGATGCCTGCAGCTCGCAGGGCAAGTGCAAGGTGCTGACCGGGAAGGCAGGGTCCACGATGTGGTGTGGTCATTAAACTGAATTTGGGAACTGGAGTGAGGGGCTGAGCACCCAGAACCAAGAACAAGTTTCATCAGAGATTTCCTGTGGGCAGAAATCATAGGGACACCTACTATTTTTGATAAGACGGAACCAAGAGTGGAACTGTGGCCAGAAGCGTGAGGGGAGGGGAGGAGCCTCTGGTCCCCAGCTCATTTCCTCCCTCGGCCCAGACAGATGAGGGCCTCCGCCTCTGGAGTCCAGCCCGGTGTGCCGGGCAGGGTGGATGGGGTTAGGGCCATTGTGACTGACCTCTCCCACTTTACGTGGGGTAAAGAAGCAGACGCAATAGCTTCCTATTGTGTAGTTCTTATGTGCCAGGGTCAGGGTTAAGTACACTGTGTGCAACATCTCAGTCCTCACAGAACCCATGATAAGGCTTCAGTTATTAGCCCTGTATAATGGATAATGAAACTGAGGCCAAGGGGCTGGGTGCCAACTCCTAGGTGACATGGGAGAGTGCAGCCCCAGGTCAGCCTAATGTCTCAGGCCGGCCCTAGGGACTCCCTCCTCTCTATCAGGAAAGGCCTGCCAAGCCACTTCTTGGGCACAGACCTGGCAAAGGTGGAGAAACCAGGGATCTGCCCTCCGGGAGACATCTGTCTCTGAATTTGGGCTGGGGACAGGGGAGCATTTACCCAGGAGCCACGGTGTGGGTGGTACCTTGGCTTGGAAAGCTGTCTTGAGGGCAGGCAGGCAGGAAGGAGCCCCTCGGCCTCCCCTGAGCAAGTCATTCCCCCTCTTCAGGCTCCAAGGATGTTTATCAAGGGGTACTGAAGTAACATTGAGGAGGGCTTCAGAAGCAGCACTGAAAGGCAAGTAGGAGAGAACTTACCACAGTGGGGGCTAGCTGCCTTCCATCTCAGCAGGGGTGGTGACCAGTTCAGGCCCCTGATGATTCGTAGGTGTTCCAGAAATTATACCCCCAATTCAGCAAATGCTGCTGGTGGCAAATAATCAAGCAGGTTCTTCCACATCACGTCCTCCAGCCAGCCCTCCGCAAACAAACAGAACTCCCCCTTGGCCCTCAAAGGTAGATATTCTTTCTTGCATGTGTTTCGAAGGTGAATGTCTCCCTCAAGGTCACTCACCTTGTGAGAACAGAGGGGACACATACAAGTCACTTTGTCCTTCACAGTAATCCCCCAGGGAAGTGATACAGTTTTTGCAGAAATGTTCCATTTGCTCTGAAAGAAGAGCTCTTTAAAGATTTGAGAAATTCATCTGTAACCTTTATTAATTTTTTTAAATTGAGGTATAATTGCCATATAACATTATATTAAATTTGTTTAAATTGAGGTATCATTGACATATAACATTAAATTATATTTAATTGAGGTGTAATTCACATTATAACATTAGAGGTAAACAACATAGTGATTCACCCATCACCTGTTTTATATACATAGTTATAAACGTATCTTTTTTCTTGTGATGACAACTTTTATGGTCTACTCTCTTAGCAACTTTCAACTATACAGTATAGACTTCCTCTTTGAAGGATTTTACCCACATTTGGACACGGACCCTGATTTTTTGGTTAAAAATAAAGTCAGACTCATCAAGATCAGCTGTTGTAACAGGATGACCACTGGCTGGGAGTCTGAAGACCTGGATTCCTAGGCATACCTTTGCCATTTATGAGTGGTGTGGCCTTGGGCAGGTCCCTTTCCCTCTCTGGGTCTTTCTGAGTGTTCTTCAAGACAATGATAGGGTGGGATAAGACGACTGCCGAACTCCCATCCAGTTCTCCAATGGTATAATCTGTGCTTCTGCATTAGCACTGGGCGCTCTGATCATGTGAAGCCCTATCCATGCTTTCCCTATCCATAAATAGGAGTATGCCTACCTTTTTCCTAACTTCTAGAATGTAGGAAGGAAAGAAGTTAATGCTTATGAGTGCTCACTGCAGGCTAGAATTTCCCCTTCCTTCCCTCCCTCTCTCCCTCCCTTCCTTCTTTCCTTCTTCCCTCCCTCTTTCCACCCGTAAGGAAGACAGATCAACCCCACTCTGGGCACTGAGGCAGAGGGGGCAGAGGTAGAGGCCCAGAGAAGTGAAGCAACATGTTCCAGGTCACATGGGTAGCAAATGGCAAGTGGCAGAGGTGAAATCTGGATCCGTTTCTGTCCAAGGGCTGAGTTGGCCCCATTATCCCAAGACCATAACTTTAAAGATGTGGATAGTGTCGTATCAGAAGAGAGCTCGCTTCAAAGCACCTCTCAGGAAATTTACTCTATGGCAGGGGTCAGCAGACTTCAAGCCAAATGCAGCCACCACCTCTTTTTGTAAATAAAGTTGTATTGGAACATAACGGGCTTGTCATTTACAGATCACCTACTACTGCTTAAGCTACAATAGCTGAGTTGAGAAATCATGACAGAGACAAACCCTAAAATATTTACTGTCTGGTCCTTTACAGAATGTTTGTTAGTCCCTGGTCCAGAGTCCAGCAAGGCTGTCCATCCTTCAAAGAACACAAAGTGACATGTGACTGTCCCGTGTGCTCAAGAGCCCCGCCACTTGGCTTGTTAGGAAGGAGGACTTCTCTTCTTAAATCTATTTTTAAAAAGGTCAACAAACAGTTTCAGGATACCTGTCAGGTCGATGAGGGAGTTCAGTTTTCATCGTGCTCTTCCCAGGAACTCAGTGAAGGGAAAATAGAAATCTTAATTTTGGGGAAATTACACAGGGGAAAAGGGGAGGGAATCAGTTACAACACCCCATTGCGACACTCAGCACAGTTGAAAGTGACAACAGCAAGAGTTTCTCATTTTGGAAATGTGAGGGCATTTCCGTTTCTCAGAGTAGGACAGGGCGGCTTGGGTGAGTGACTATTTTCTTTATAAGCGGCACCTCAGGGCCCGAAATGGCAGTGTCGTGTTGTCTCGCTGCGGCCGCAGAATGGAAACCGGCAGGTGTCCCCTCAGTTACCTGATCTCTTTCCTCCTTTTCCTGTTCCATTCAGAGACAGCCTGCCATCCCTTGGGGAAGAGACCTTGCAAGATGCAAGCCTTCAGGTAAGGCCACCCCTGAGGAGGCGGGGTGGACGGACAGGTAAATGGAACCACCGCGGCCGTTGGGGGGGCCCGCTGGCCTCCGCAGCGCCTGCGGGCTGAGTTTGGGCTGGAAAGGGAGGTCCGTTATTCAGGAAAGGGGAGCCACATCCGCGGTCTTCAGGGCTTGTGTTTCAGAATATTTCAGATGGGCAGAACTTGGCCAGAGGCCTGGCTTATTCTCCCAGAGACTCTGGCAACTCAGTGAGTGACAGACAGGTGCCGAGGAGCCAGGCCGGGGCTCTTTGCTGGGCAAGGAAACCGGAGGGCTGCGTGGGCAGCGCACAGCCCGGAGGCCCAGACTGCCGGCCAGCATTGCAGGTCCGTGTGGACATGGTGGAGGCCCCCGCTCCTTTGCGGCCTCAGTTTCCCCATCGGTGACATGGGGTTAAGTATAACCCCCTGCCTGCCTTACTGGGTTGTTGTGAAGATCAAACAGTGCTTGAACACTACTGTGATTTTTAAAAATTGGGCCAGGAGTTTTGTGAGAGAGATGTCACCAACCCTGTTGTAAAATCGAGAGGCTGTGATGCTGTCCCCATGGGCCCTCTGTCCTGTGACATTGCAGGCCTGAGCCACGTCAGGGTGACTTCACCATCAAACCGAGTTTCCCTGGCTTGAGGCTGCAGTTCGGGATTCTGTGCGTGTGCGTGTGCGTGTGTGTGTGTGCGTGCGTGTGCGTGCGTCCTGGGCAAGTCGTTCCCCTTTCCAGACACGGGAACTGCTTCACGAGCTTTGCCTCTGCTTCTTCCTACTGGCTGGGAGCTCCAGGAGATGCACCTGGAGGTCTCTAGTAGGAGACTCATCCAGGAATGCAGAAGAATCTCGAAAGGTCAAATGCTCAACGTGTGCAAAGACCTTTACAGTTTGTCCAACCATCCCTCACTGAGCTCACGAGCTCCCCAAAGTGATGCCATGGGCGTTGGTAGCCACACTTCACTTGTGAAGAGATGAGGTGCATGTCCAAGGCCACATGGGTGGGCAGCGGGGCACAGAGGGCCCACGTTCTGGCTGGGCCTCTGCAAGCCCTGCTCTCAGCCCTTCACCAAGAGCTTGGCAGCCACATGTGGGCTGCTGGCTACCATACTGGACCGTGCAGAGAGAGAACATTCCTGCCCCCGGCAAGTTTTATTGGATGATGCTACTCTAGAGTATGTTTTGCTGAAGTAGAAGGTGTCTGCTCTGGGAATCTGAGGATGAGGAGCAAGGTGAGGAGAGCGGTAGAATGTGGGTGCACTGCTTTCCAGCTGTGGGAGCTGGGCCAGCCTCTTAGTCGGTGTTGACCTCAGTCTCTCCTCCATGCCAAGGCTGGGCTAAAACACCACACCCCTGGCAGAAAGTTGAATGCAGATTCAGTGAACTCTGGGGGACACAGGAACAGGGGGAGCACAGGGCTGGGCACACAGAGGTTGTTCACCATAGCTGGGGCCTTTCACATTGCAGAATCTGGGATATTAACCAGAAGACCTTCTACCTGAGGAATAACCAACTCGTCGCTGGATACTTGCAAGGATCAAATACTAAATTGGAAGGTGAGTGGTTGCCAGAAAAGTGGATGTTGTGTGGGTACTGGGCCACTTTGCCCTGGAGTCTCCAGCTTGCCCTTGGAAAGCTTAGGTTCAAAGTCCTAATCCCCGCTGGGTCTTTGTGGTTGAGTTGGAAGCTGGGGGAGGCCTGGCCACATGTGAGGGCAGGCCTCAAGAGGGTAAGAGGGTTAGAGCCTAGGTCTGGAGCCCCCACCTGCTGGCACCGTGTCCCGGGGCCACCACTGGCCGGGAGAGGGCACAGAAGGCAAGACGCTCCCTTTCCCTCCTGTGACTATGAAGCCCTCCGTGTCCCTATGTTGTTCAAACCCTAACTACCACCCAAAACGAATACACCAAATCTAAGGCTGGGTTATGTCCCTTTGTCATGGACACCACATTCAGCCATGGTCTGGTCCTTGCTCTAAACAAGCTGCATGACCTCGGGCAGGCTTCCCCCACTCCATCGCTCAGTTTTTCCTTTAGTAAACCGAGGCCGGCCTGATGGCATGCTGGGAGAGTCTTTCAGCACGAGCCTCCTGGGATGTTTCTGATTACCCGCTTGGTACTATGGGATGGCACGATCTCCATCTTCCCACCTTGTTCTCAGCCCCTCGCCTTGCCCTGAAAGAGTGTGAGACCGGCCTTTCCTGTCCTTCTGTTAATTCTCCTAGTGAACAAGCTGAAGTGCAGAAAGGCCGAGCTTTTCACTGCCACGTGAGGGCTCAGAGACGACCAAGGGACAGGGTCAGAGTCACCCAGGTGCCTGTAGACCAAGCCCCGGGGCCCACTGTGTGCTATTTCCCTGCCCGTGGGCAGCACCCCCGGGGACCTGGAGCACAGGTGTCCTGGGGAGAAGGAAGGATAGGGACCACGCGGAGCAGAATCTAGGCGACACGGTCCTTGAGGGGTAACTCGATAACTCCTTGGCGTGATCTTCCACTTGAATGAGGACCAGGAAGATGGGGCCTCACTGCCCTTCTGACCTTCGGGTTTTACTTCGGGTGGGGATGGGATGGGGAGACAGAAAAATCTCCTGCGAGAGTCCGGGCTGCCTCCTCCTCTCTCTACAACCTGACCCTGCCTTCTGCTCTTCCCCAGAGAAGTTAGACGTGGTGCCCATTGAGCCTCATGCCGTGTTCCTGGGGATCCATGGGGCGAAGCTGTGCCTGGCCTGCGTCAAGTCCGGTGATGAGACCAAGCTCCAGCTGGAGGTAAGGGCCCGCCTCCGATGGCAGCCACCCCAAAGCTGGCGGCGGGGACAAGCGCAGTCGGTTCCTTCCTGGGGCCCTGTGGGTCAAAGAGGCAGGCGCAGCTGGGCAGTTGTGCTCCACTCGGCGTAGCAGCGGCTGCAGCGGGCAGCTCTGCTGGGGGGGCCACGGTGGCTTCTCCCCCGCCCCTTGCTCCACGTGCTCTCTCAGAGCTCCGCGGTCAGCGTGGGCCTCCTGACAGCACGGGTGCTGCCTTCCGGCACGGATTATGCCACAGAGGCGAGGCTCCGTGGGCAGAGGCCCATCAAAGCCCCGCTTACGTCGTGCGGCTCACGTCCCATGGGCCGAAGCCGGCCGTGTGGCCAAGTCCAGTCTCGAGAAGGGCGGGGGCCGGGAAGGACGGTTCCTTTGAGGGCTTCATTCTCTGTGAGCCACTCTCTGGCCCGACGGCTCCCGACCTTCTTAGACTCGCCCTCCTCCAGGGAAGCCAAGCTTCAGGACCTTTCTCTTCTAATCCTTATCTACTCAGACCCACGGGTTGGCATCCCATCCAGGGCCCTGTACTCCTTGATCCCCGCAGTATGAACGGGCTGCCAGCCCTGGGAGGAGATGGCTTTGTCTCAGGGGCTTGTTGGTCAGGATCTTAACCCAGTGTGAGTGGCTGTAACCAGGGCTCCGTCCCTTGCCCCCAGCCGTGGACAGAGGCATTCTTTGGGAAGGTGACTACTCTGTGTGGAGTGGGGATGACCAGGACGTTGTGTGTACCGTGTCGAATGCACTGCAGTGATCTCTGCCCACCTTCTCCACCATGCCCTCTTGCCTGAGAGGGCACAGGCCCCGACAGAGCGCCAGCCTCCACGTGCGTTGGCCTCTGCGGCTGATGCCACGTGTCTACCAAACTTACTGGCCCATGGCTAGAGGGGCCAGATTTCCCAAAGTCAAGGTGTGACCGTGGGACGGCCTCTTTGTGTCACTGTTGTCTTAGGAGAGCCGGGATGCATGGCCTGCCACAGGGGTCCCCGGTCAGAGTTTCCCCAGTGCTTGTTCTGGGCCGGCCGGAGGCCAAGTCCTGGTTGGGAGAGGGAGGCAGCATGGGACCTATGGGCTTCCCAGCCCTCACTGCTCATGTCTTGGCTTCCAGGCAGTTAACATCACTGACCTGAGTAAGCACAAGGATCAAGACAAGCGCTTCACCTTCATCCTCTCGGATAGCGGGCCCACCACCAGCTTCGAGTCCGCCGCCTGCCCTGGCTGGTTCCTCTGCACAGCACTCGAGGCCGACCGGCCCGTCAGCCTCACCAACACGCCCCAAGAGGCCACGACGGTCACCAAGTTCTACTTCCAGAAGGACTAGTGGTGGGTCCATGCCGCACGTCCCCCATGCCCAGCACACTGATGACCCCAGAGACGCCTCTCCACCCTGCCCGGGGCCTCCTGGCTGTCGTGGGGGCTCAGAGGAGCAGCCTTGGTGGGGTAGACCTCGGAAGGATGGCCAAGAGCCCCGGTAACAGGACTCTGTCACCAGCCTCCTCAGCTAAGCAACCTCGATGCTGCCTCCACGGTGGTCTTTCTATCGTGCAGCTCAAGCCACCGCACTGCCCCAGGCCTTTCAGCGCTGCCCGTGCCTTCTGGATGAAAGGCAGGCCGCTCGGCCGCCTGGGCCCCCTCTGCTCTCCTCTCCCTGACTCCTCAGCCTCCTCCCTCGCCCTGTGGCCGCGTCCCAGATCCCTCACGCCCCTCGCTGGCCTCCCAAACCTTGTTTTGCCAACTGATGCCGTTCTGTGGGGAAAACTTTTAGAGTCTGTGCCACAATGGAAGAGAAGGATTTCCTTTCTCTTTTAAGCCAGCTTCATCCAATTTGAAGGCGAGTCCTTTCTTTAGAGACTGTGTCCTTTCTGGAAAGGGGGCGAGGGAGGGTGGAAGGAGCTCTCCCTTTTGATTTCCCTCTCTTCTTTTTGTAACGCCCTACCCTGCAAAAATGCGAAGTTAGTGTGTTATGTTGGTCCCTAGTTTTTTTTTCTTTCTGTGACGTTCCTAAAGTCTGGCCCCCACTGCTCAGGCCAGGCACCATTTCCACTCCAGACCTTGTACAGTGCCCGCCGCGCTTTTCCTCCCCCAGCTCCCCCATCAGAAGCTCCCAGCTCCCAGGGCAGCACAACTGCGGCTCCCCTGGGGCTCTTTGCAGGTTTCCTGGGAGGGAGGAATGGCTCTTGGACCGTTTTAGCCCTTCAGACACCCTGAGACTTGCGCCTCCGTCCGTGTCCCGCCGCAGACTGAGCTCCCGAGAGCAGGGAGCGTGATGACCCGTGTGTGTTTCGGACCCTCAGCACGTGCTCCGTGAACGTGTGTTCTGTGTGTTGAGCAGAAAGGTTCCTACTCCCTGTGACTGAAGCTGTTTTACAATAAAATCTTGAAAACTCATCTACTTTGCTGGTTGTGTCTCTGGCCTCGCCAGGCTTGGCGCATAGAGAGCTTGGGAAACGGGGAGGCCAACGGGCCTTTCTCACCCCGGGGACTGGGCCTGGCTGCCTCTCTTCTGAGAGTCCTTTCCTCCTCAGGCCTCACTGTCTCTGGTCCACGAGAGTGAATCTCCCTGCCAGGAAGGTGGGTAGCACCACTGTCCAACTAGCCGCCAATAGCAAACAATCCAAACACCCATCACAGAGGAACGAACACAGACATCAGGTGCATGCATACAACGCAATGGTCGGCAGCAAAGAGAGTGGATGGACTGCGGTCGGCCGCTCTCCACAAAACAGATGCATCTTACCCACATGATGTGGGGAGCAAGAATGACAGAAGCCCGCACAGAGCGTGAGTCCATGCACATAAAGCTAAAAGAGGTAAAACCGAGCCGTTGCGGGGGGGGATGTATAGACAGGTGGTGCAAACACACGGAGAAGCAGGGACGGGCAGTGTCTGAAAGTGGGGCTGCTGGGTGACTCCTGGGAGACAGAGGGTCAGGCTGGAGCCCCCGGAGGCTTTTAGGATCCAGGCGACACTCTAATTCTTGACATGTTTGTGGTTAGGCGGTTTGCTGGGTGTATATTTCACAATTTCGAAGTCGAAAAAAATGAAAAGCCTTGCCCCTGGGGTGTGAGCAAAGGGAGCACTGGGAAATGATGAGATCACCAGGTGGAATATTGAATTTGGCCCCGTGAGATGGGAGTGCAAGACCCTTCTCAGACAGTTCGGCTACCAGGCAGAACTCCTGCCCGCCTTCTGCTGACTTCTGCCCTTGGTCTCTGGAGCCCTCGAGTCGGGCCTGACTGGGTGGCCTCTCTCCTTGGGGCCTGCTGCTCACTTATTCCCAGAGGGAGCTGACTGAGACGGGGTTTGCCAATAGCGCTCTTGGCACTTGTCTCCAAGGCCCGGGAAAGAGAACCCAACACAGCTAGGCCGCAAGGCTGGGCTGCACGTCTTGAACCCGGCTCTGGCCGGGCCTTCTGCTCCTCTCCGCTTCACAAACTAGACGTCACGCACCGCCTTGCTGGAAGAGGAGATTTCATCGCTAAAAACTAAGTTCAACAGGTTAAAAGATAACCGACTGGAGAAAATCTTTAAGATCTCTAGATCTCGACTCCAGAAGGGGCCACCTTTGGGTCAGCTTTCTCTTCCTTGTATGGAAGATGGAAGTCGTCACACCTGCTCCCTGGGGATGGCCTGGGGATAACATGAACCGGTATGGGCTCATTGTGTGTCAGGGAAGGGTGCGTGTGGCTGATAGATTTTTAGTCCTGGTAAAGGGGGACGTTCAGGGCCGAAAACCCTTCAAGGCTTAATGGTAATAACAGCAGCAACGCTTGTGGGTCTGGCTCTTCAGCCATCCTGCCTCCTCTGACAAAAGAGAAACCTGAGGCTCAGACCCTTCATGTGATTAGATCAAGCAGCCGGGTGTAGGTAAGTAACAGGTGAGGGAGTGGACAGTCATGCACAGGAGCTCTAGAATGTTCTGGCTCTCCTGCTTGCAAAGTGCACTCCCGGACAATGAGTTAATATCTTGCAGGCTCCGTTTCGTCATCTCTAAATGCAGGTAATGGCTAGTGCACCGGGCTGACTTACTCGAGCTCTGCAATATCACCGCGGTGGTATTGGTGCTGGTATTTGCTTTGGAAGACTCAGGGCTCAAGGGAATCTGCTTTAAAGCCTTGCTCCTCAAAGTGCGGTACCCAGAGCAGCAGTGGTGGTGGCAGCATTTGGGAGTTAGAAGGCAGAGTCCCAGGCCTTGTGCCAGACTTCCTAACTCAGGATCTTCATCTCAAGCAGGTCTCCAGGAGATTCAATGCAGGTTCAAGTTTAAGATAAAGGTCTGCTTCAAAGTGCAGTGCTCATGCTGTCTATAAACTCAGGCATATTTGTGAAACTGACTCTCATAATTACAAACCAAACTCATGTCCTCAACAGTACTCCCGCGAGCTCACTGACGATACCCCAAACTCCCAAGACCTCCTTAGTCTGGCTTAAAGTGTTCTTTAAGAGAGGAAAAGCTTGGGCGCCTGGGTGGCTCAGTCGTTAAGCGTCTGCCTTCGGCTCAGGTCATGATCCCAGGGTCCTGGGATCGAGTCCCGCATCGGGCTCCCTGCTCAGTGGGGAGCCTGCTTCTCCCTCTCCCTCTCCCACTCCCCCTGCTGTGTTCCCCCTCTCACTGTCTCTCTCCCTCTGTTGAAAAATAAATAAAAAGTCTTTAAAAAAAAAAAAGAGAGAGGAAAAGCTTTAGGGGCCCCTGAGTGGCTCAGTCAATTAAGTCTGACTCTTGGCTTCTGCTCAGGTCATGATCTCAGGGTCCTGAGATCGAGCCCTGTGTCGGGCTCTGCGATCAGCGGGGAGTCTGCTTGTCCCTCTCCCTCTGCTCCTCCCTCTGCTCACTCTCTCTCATAAATAAATAAAATCTTAAAAAGAGAGAGAGAGAGAAGGAAAGCTCTAAGCCTTTTCTGTCCTGCTAGAACATCAGCAGCTCCACACACGTAGGGATTTTGATCTGTTTTGTTCTATGATGTATCCCAAGTACCTAGATCAACACTTGGAATGTACAGGGTGGTCAATCAATACTGGATGAAGAAGTGAATTGGCCATTGATATATCAGTAGGAACTAATGTATTACATGGGTCAGAAAATTTGGGAAGACAGGGAACTTAGGCCAGGGAAGTTTTGAAAGGGGCCGAGAAGAAGGGAAAAGCCCAGGGCGCTGCACATCGCGGAGATTTTGGAGCTCATCAAGGAAAAAGAAATGGCCACAAGGTGGCAGTAACGCACCCGCGCTTTACTGGGCAGCGCCTTGACAGGTGCGCTCCCTCACGTCAGAAGTCTGTCCAGAGGCGAGAGTTGCTACTCAGGAGGAGAGGGGGGCATGGGGACTCGGGGGAGAGGGGCCTCATGTGTCTAGGTGATGTCACTCAGCCGCACAGTGGGGAGTTTCTGGGTCAGAGAGCTCCAAAGCACAGCGGCAGCTTGGGGTCTTTATGGCCTGGGGCTTATCCACGGCTAGCAGATGTTGGGAACAGTTTCGTGGGGTATGCAAAGCAGGCCGGCTCTAAATGGCTAAAAACCTGCTTATTTGGGTGATGTTTAAAGCAATTGGCTGTGGAGACATTTGAGTTTGGCCTCAGGTGGGCTTTGGAGCGAGCCCGTCTCAGTCTGCTGTGAACAAATCAACCGCCTAGGGCCCAGTATGCAGAGGCCACCTGTGGCTCATTTACATAACACAAGGCTGGGGGGTGGCTCAGGACCGGCAGGCCTGGGCAGCACGTGAAAGTGACAATTTTGTGCGAATAGGAGGCAGTGAGGGTGACTGGGAGGTGGGAGGCTCAGCTGGGAGAGCAAAGCTCAGGGAGGGAAGATGAGCAAGCTTCGGAGAGGAATGTGGCCTTTTCTGTCACTTGGAGGACTGACTGCGCTGTCAGACCACAGGATCATGGAAGAGCCCATTTGAAACTTCGAAACTGAAAGTACAGGGCTCCAGTCTTTCAGGCTTTCAGAGTCTAGTCAGAATTTCCCTGCTAACTAGCTGGGTGACCTTGGCCAAGCGCCATCTCCTCTCTGGGCCGCGGTGTTCTCGCTTTCGCAAGGAGGGGGTGTGACTAGGCCCGTGGTGCTCATTCGGCTCACCTGTGGAGCTTTATAAAAACTGATGGCGGGCGCCTGGGTGGCTCAGTTGTTAAGCGTCTGCCTTCGGCTCAGGTCATGATCCCAGGGTCCTGGGGTCGAGCCCCACATCGGGCTCCCGGCTCGGCGGGAAGCCTGCTTCTCCCTCTCCCACTCCCCCTGCTTGTGTTCCCTCTCTCGCTGTGCCTCTCTCTGTCAAATAAATAAATAAAATCTTTAAAATAATAATAATAAAAATAAAATAAAAATAAAAACTGATGGCAGTGCCTGACCCCACCCCCAGAGACTGGTTTGGGGTGGTCTGGGCACGCCCAGGTCAAGACCCCCTGGACCGGCAGGCTCCTGTGTTCAAGTCCTCCCAGCTACTCCCTCAGAGTGAGCCCCATCCGGTGGCATCTGGAAATGCAAAGGAGGGAAATGGTCCTTACCTTCAGAGAGAGGCTCTTTACCAAGTCAGAGGTATTTTTTTTTTTCTTTAGTTTTTCTTTTTTTTTTTTATTCTTATGTTAATCCCCATACATTACATCATTAGTTTTAGATGAAGTGTTCCATGATTCATTGTTTGTAGTCAGCGGTATATTTTGACTATATTTTAATTTGAGTTGAAGGTAGAAGAAGGTTTTCTACTTTCTTAGTCTGGTTAAGACACACTTTGAGCTTCATTTTTTTTTTTTTTTTGGCATAAATTATGCTATAATAGTAGATGTTAAATTGGCGTAAAATTCTTGCAAATCTTAGGGAAACCAAATAATGTTGTGTTTTCTCTTCATAAAATTATGAAAACCCTAATCATAGCAGCAAGTCTTAACATGCTTGATATTAAACCCAACTCTCCGAAAAGTTTGGATAGACAGCGAAGTATGTGTTTTCGGGTTCTTATCCTCAAACCTGACGAAGCCTAAAGAGAGGGACGTTCAGCTTTCAAAAGAATGTTTTGCCTCTGGGTCTTCTGCTCCATCAAGTATGTGGGGGTTTAAAAAGAACAACAGCAAAAAACCCCCAAACCAAAAAAATAAAAAACAGTTTAAGAAATGTCCACCGGAGGTCAGCATTTTGCTGAAGAGAATCCTATATGAAATAACTAGTTCAGTTCAGGCTGGTGAAGGTTCAGTTTTTTAAAAACTCTCTGAGAAATAGCTGGGCTTTCATGCCAAGGGAAGTATATTCTCATTCAACCTCTCAATCAAGCTGTGTCCTAATTTGAGCTATTTGCCTCATGAAGTACATGAGCCCTGAGAAGTATCCAACCAAGGGTGTCTCTTACTGATGTCTCTTTTCCATACGGTGAGACTCAGAAAGTTCACCAGGTCTTCTTGCA